CAGCTACTTGGGAGGCTGAGGCGGGAGAATGGCGTGAACCCGGGAGGCGGAGCTTGCAGTGAGCCGAGATCACGCCACTGCACTTCAGCCTGGGAGACACAGCGAGACTCCGTCTCAAAAAAAAAAAGACCGAGGCTTCAAAACAAATTACCTTGGCCGGGCGGGGTGGCTCACGACTGTAATCCCAGTACTTTGGGAGGCCAAGGCGGGCAGATCTGGAGGTCAAGAGATCAAGACCATCCTGGCCAACATGGTGAAACCCCGTCTCTATTAAAAATACAAAAATTAGCTGGGCGTGGCTGCGCGCGCCTGTAGTCCCAGCTACTCGGTAGGCTGAGGCAGGAGAATCCCTTGAACCCGGGAGGTGGAGGTTGCAGTGAGCCGAGATTGCGCCACTGCACTCCAGCCTGGCGACAGAGTGATATTCCGTCCAAATAAATAAATAAATAAATACCTTTACACAGGGGCAACCTTCAGGGCGCCAGAAGATTTTTACCAGGCCACAGCGATACTCCTAAGAGGCGAGTTGGACCGGGCGCGGTGGCTCACGCCTGTAATCCCAGCACTTTGGGAGGCCGAGATGGGTGGATCACCTGAGGTCAGGAGTTCGAGATCATCCTGGCCAACATGTTGAAACCCCGTCTCTATTAATAATAACAATAATTAGCCAGGCGTGATGGCGGGCGCCTGTAATCTCAGCTACTCAGGCAGCTGAGGCAGGAGAATCGCTTGAACCCGGGAGGCAGAAGTTGCAGTGAGCCGAGATCGCACCACTACACTCCAGCCTGGGCAACAAGAGCAAAACTCCGTCGAAAAAAAAAGAAAAACAATAAAAGCGAGTTGCTCGCTTTTGGTTGCTCCTCCATTCCGTTAGGTCGGACGGTTTGTCCCTAGGCACGGTGACCTCGCCTGGTGACAAATACGCCGCCGGGCAAACCCACTGAACAGCTAGAATCCGTGCCCAAAGCCCTCTAACATGATCAGTTGCTCCCCTCTCCTCAACAGGGTCAACATTTTACATCCTCTGGAGAGGGGCACAAGTTCCGTCGCCAACTGCTCCTCAAGGGGGCCGCAATTCAAACAAATTTTGAATCGAACTAAAAGCAGTTTGTTTCTCCTAAAGAAGGTCCTCGGCTGGGGGAACAAGTTTAAAAAGCCACCTACCTTTCCCTTCCTGGAAGTTTTCTGGGGCCTGGGCAGCAGCCTGGGCGCTGCCGTCCGCATCCGTTTGAGCGTACTGGTCGGCAGGAATCTGGGTGCCTTGGTCGCCAGCAATGTCGGCGCTGCTTTCACAGGTGGTTTCAGACCCACGGTCGACAGGAATTTGGGGCTCTTGTTGGCTAGTTACTTCCGATGTTGAAACTGTTGGTGTTGAATCATTTTCTGAAGAAACGGGGAGCCGTCCCTCGGGGCACTCCATGGCCCACCTCGTTGGGGTTGTAAAATGGCTTCCTGTGTAGTCACGTGACCTGAAGGGTTCCAGAACCTTCGTAAATGTAAAAGGTTTCTTTACGTCTTAAAGACGTAATACTATTACCGACATTGCCGGTGCCTGTTCAAGATTGTAGCAGCCAAGTCTCCACTGCCTAGCACTTAACCTAAACGTAATCGTAGGGAATAAATATTTTCGGAAGACGATTCTACAATCATTTTGTTTTGGGACATGATTTTTTTCATTCAATTAAACTAGATTATCAGAGCTTCAGACCAAGACAAAATTGTTTTGGTCCCTTTTAGAATCCATCTGCTAACCTTCATTTTGGCATTATGACATGGGGCTACATCAAGGATTATGCAACAAAATAGGCCAAAGAGACCAGTTTTACATTTACTACACAATATTCTTGAAGGCATTAATTATATCAAAAAAAGAATCCTTTCATGAAAACGGAAATGAAAATTCTGTTTTTGGTAACTGAAATAGCTGAATAATTGTTTTGAATTGTAAGGACAGCGTGAATTATATAATTAAATTTATTATGGCTGCTAGGAAGCTCAGAACCAAACTTGCAACCAACTTGTAATAACTGTGATCCTTACTGGCATATGTTGAGTTTTATCTTAAATAAGTGTGTTCTCTCCCATTTCCCTAATTATTTTTTGTCTCATGCAGTAAATAACACTAAAAGCTCCTCAAAGCCTTTTCAAAAAGAATCAGATATATATGTTTGGTAAATGAAAATAGTACTCTTGGCCAGGTGCAGTAGCTCACGCCTGTAATCCCAGCACTTTGGGAGGCCGAGGCAGGTGGATCACCTCAAATCAGTAGTTCGGGACCAGCCTGGCCAACACGGTGAGAATCCCCCGTCTCTACTAAAAATACAAAAATTAGCCGGGCATGGTGGCGTGTGCCTGTAATCCCAGCTACTAGGGAAGTTGACGCACAAGAATCGCTTGAACCTGGGAGGCGGAGGTTGCCTTGAGCCAAGATCGCGCCACTGCACTCCAGCCTGGGTGACAGAGCGAGACTCCGTCAAAAAAAAAAAAAAAAAGAAGGAGAAGAAGAAGAAACTAGTACTCCTGACAGAAGTGTCTCAGGGAGCATCCCTGTGGGTAGAGGAGGGGAGCACAATAACTGCTCACTTATGAATTCAATCATCCAACAAATGTTAGTTGAGAATTTAGTGTGCCAGACGGGATTTGAAACATTTATTAAATGCTTAAAATATAGTTAAGTGTTTTATGGGAAGGAGGCAAAAATTATCCTTCAGAAATTTACAATCTACTTAGAGCATACACATATGTAACTTTTTCATTATTGCCAAAGTTCCAGCCCCTTCATAAGAAAACAGGGAAATATAAAGTGGAAGAAAGAAAAGGATATGAATTATGGTTTCTTTTGGTAGAGGAGAGGTGATCCAAGAAGCAACATGATGTACAAATACAGAAAAAAAAAAACTGTCCTATACGTACTATCATATTGTCAGGTACATAGAGAGTGTATTTCCGGGTTCTAGTCTGTCATGCTGCAGTTTCTTTTCAATAAGTTCTTTTGCATGCCTTTCCCTATAAAGCACTCGTCTCCCTCCCTAACTATGCTTCAGTTTCATCATTATAGCATATATGCAGTTGCATGTGTTCCTTCAATGTAAGTTTATTAGGTATCGGAAATTGTCCTAAGGTCATTAATAGCTAACATTCACTGAGTGTTTATGTGCTAGACTCTTTGCTAGTGCTTCGTATGCAATATTTCACTTAACTCTCACAATTGCCCTCTGAGTTTGGTATGATTATGATTCTGTTTATTGATTTTTGTTTTCAGATTAGCAAACTGAGATTTTAAAAGGTTAACTAAACTTATCTTTCATCATATACAAAAATCAACTCAAAATGGATTGAAGACTTAAATGTAAAACCTGGCACTATGAAACTACTAAAAGAAAATATTAGGGAAACTCTCCAGGACATTGGACTGGGCAAAGATTTTTTTTTTTTTTTTTTTTTTTTTTTTGGTAAGACTTCAAAAGCATGGATGACAAAAGCAAAGATAGACAAATGGGATCACATCAAGGTAAAAAGCTTCTGTACAGCAAAGGAAACAAACGACAAAGTGAAGAGATAACCCACAGAATGGGAGAAAATATTTGAAAACTATCCATGCAACAAGGGATTAATAACCAGACTATATAGGGAACTCAAACAACTCAGTAGTGCAAAAAATAAATAAATAAAAATAAACAGTTAATCCGATTTTTAAATGGGCAAAGACCTGAATAGGTCTCAAAAGAAGAGATACAAATGACCAACAGATACATAAAAAAATGCTCAACATTACTAATCATTAGGGAAGTACAAATCAAAACCACAATGAGATATCATCTCATCCCTGTTAGAATAGCTATTATCAAAAAGACAAAAAAATAACAAATGCTGACAGGGATGCAGATAAAGGGGAAACCTTGTATACTGTTGGTGGGAATATAAAGTAGTACAGTCATTATGGAAAACAGTATGGAGGTTCCTCAAGAAACTAAAAATAGGCCAGGATGGTGGCTCACACCAGTAATCCCAGAACTTTGGGAGGCCAGGCAGGAGGATCACCTGAGCCCAGGAGTTCGAGACCAGCCTGGGCAACATACTGAGACACCATCTCTACAAAAATAAATAAATTAATTAATTAACTAATTAATAAGAAACTAAAAATAGAACTTTCACTTGGCCCAGCAATCCCATCACTAGGTATAGGTATATATCCAAAAGAGAGGAAATCAGTATATCAAGGAGATCTGCACTCCCAAGTTTATTGCAGCACTATTCACAATAACCAAGATATGGAATCAACCTAAGTGTTCATCAGCGGATGAATAGAAAAAGAAAATGCGGTATATAGGCCAGGCGTGGTGGCTCACGTCTGTAATCCCAGCACTTTGGGAGGCTGAGGCGGGCGGATCACGAGGCCCAGAGATTGAGACCATCCTGGCCAACATAGTGAAATCCCATCTCTACTAAAAATACAAAAATTAGCTGGGTGTGGTGGTGAACGCCTGTAGTCCCAGCTACTCAGGAGGCTGAGGCAGGAGAATTGCTTGAACCCGGGAAGCAGAGGTTGCAGTGAGCCGAGATCACACCACTGCACTCCAGCCTGGTGACAGAGCGAGACTACGTCTCAAAAAAAAAAAAGAAAGAAAAGAAAAAGAAAATGCAAAATGCGGTATATACACACAATGGACTCTTATTCAGCCATAAAAAGAGTGAAATCCCATCATTTGCAGCAACATGGATGGAACTGGAGGCCACTGTGTTAAATGAAATAAGCCAGACATAGAAAGACAAATACTGCGTGTTCTCACTTATATGTGGGAGCTAAAAAAGTAGATCTCATGGAGGTAGAGAATAAAATGGTGATTACCACAGGCTAGGAGGGGAGAATGAAGAGAAGTTGATTAAGGGGTATAAAAATACAATTCAGTAGAAGTAATAAGTTCTAGTATTCAGTAGTACATTAGGGAAATTAGTAAACAATAACTCATATATTTCTAAATAGCTAGAATAGAAGAACTGTAATATTCCCAATACAAAGAAAAGATAAAAATGTTTCAGGTGATGGATATCCCAATTACCCTGATTTGATCATTACACATTGTAGACAAGTATCAAATATCACATGTGTCCTCCAAAATATGTACTATGATTATACATGAATTAAAAAGAAATATGTAAGTTGTGGATAAATTTGATCAGTTATTTATAATAATCAAAATTTTGTTTTCTAGGTATTAGATTTTGGTATTATACACAGACTCTAAACTTCTAATTATTTTAATATACTTTTAAATATAAAAAACCTACAATTTTTCTTGATATTATGTATTAGCAGTCAACCCTAGAGTGTGATTTTTCTTCTCAGATCTATGTATATGCCTAAACTATATTTTATGTAAGTGTATTATGTATGTAATATAGGAGAGACAAGAGCTCAACATAAAATCAACAAAAAATGGACATGTAATAAGATGTCCATTATATTTTTGATGCTTACTATGCATCAGAATTTTGGGAGGAGTTTTTTTTTAAAATGCAGATGTAAAGTTCCTATCTTTTCAGAGATTCCGATTCAGTTGTCTTGGGGTGAGGCATGGGTATTGCTCTAGGTATGTTTTTAAATTTCAGATTTCACATTATTCCAATGTGTAGCCAGGATTGAAAGCCGTTGTATATCTAGTTTCATTGGAGCATAGGCAAAGGAGGAGTCAAAAAGAATTGACTTTTTACATCCTGCACTCTCTAGGAGAGAGTCTGAAACTGGGAGATGTGAACTTTTCCTGGAAAGACAGGTACTGTCTGCTGTGTCTCAAAAAAGTCTGGATTAGATTTTGCTTAAAACAATCCACATTTCTTTGCTGATTACTAACTTTACAAGTAACATCAGCCTCCTTGATACTTCAAAATTATAAAAGGATGTGCCCGAAATAAGGTGTTTGAGCATTCTTTCTAGATACTTGAGTGTCTAAAATTGTCATTCTAGTTTATCCATTAGTATACTTTGTGAGTTTGCTAACAAGGGGAACTGATAAGATCAAGTTTTAAAGTTGTGAGGCTGAATACCGGATCCCGATTCCTGGTAAATTTACCAAATTAGCTGGGCCAGGTGACTTATCCCTATAGTCCCAACCCTTCTGGAGTCCGAGGTGGATGGATCGCTTGAGCTCAGAAATTCAAGACCAGCCTGGACAACATGGTGAAATTCCATCTCTAAAAAAACTATGAAAATTAGCCGGGCATGGTGGCATGTGCCTGCGGAGATACTCGGGAGACTGCGGTAAGAGGATCACTTGAGCCTGGGAAGTCGAGGCTTCAGTGGTCCAAGATCGTACCACTGCACTCCAGCCTGGGTGATAGTGTGAGACACTGTCTCAAAAAAAAAAAAAAAAAAAGTATTAAATTAGTGACCCTGTATTATCTCTTAAAAGTTAGATATTCTAAATTTATTGATATACAAT